TTTCCCTCCTCTCAATACTGTCTCCTATGAACTGGTGAAATCTCAATGAGGATAGGAGTGGAGGGAGCCTGGAACGAATAGAACATTACCATTCTAGTTCTCTTTTCTTTTTTTTTTTTTATTTTAAGTACATTAAGATTTATCTGTCTCAATCCTTCCATAAGGCAAAGCATCATTCAACTGCTAGTACTCCTGAAAGCCTGTGATATTTCTGCTCATTGTCCAGTTTTAAAAGGTAAATTTTGTAAGGAGCTTTTTGTCAGCTCTAGAAGCAGAAATGAATTGCTGCTAGAACTCAGAACTAGAAATTCAGGGTAAACAAACAAACAAAACCCACGCAGTATGGATTCGTTTTGTGAAGCGGGATCACCATTTCTGAGCATTCTTCTTGGAAGCTCATCCTTCTGTGCCATGATTTTTATTTATTTGAAATACTTTCTTTTTAAACTCTGAATTTACTTCTGAAATTAATTTATGAGATATATACTTTGCCTATACACAGCTTTTTCAGTTAGACAAGGACAACGTTTCTTGGAAGTTAGATTTCACCATTTAGAGCAAAGCTGGTAGAATATTTAATGTCTCATTCATTACTTTGAAATGTTATCAGTTAAACACTCTCATTAAGCACCAGTTCATTTTTATTTTGCAAGAACAAGGACATTAATGTGATGTCTTGTCTTTCCTTCCAGGAAATTATGTTTTACCTCAGACTCTAGTTTCAGAGAAATCCAAGTAATTTGCACTCAAGCCTTGATCACTGGGTAGGGCTGCTGTGCTTTGCTGCAAGAGCATAACCTTTGCTATACGCAACAGCTCGATTCCACTGACGCACAAACAGACCTCTATCTAACAAACTGCACGTTTTGTAAAGGATTCCCGAGACAGTTGATAGACATGTCTGGAGATGTTTGTTTAGATGCTATTAGACTAGAATTGTGACTATTACACACACTCAATGAAATGAAATACCTAAGCATGTAACATTACTAAAACATAAAACTGTAATGCAGCTACATGTAAAAACGTATTGGCAAATACTTTAATGTCTTTAATTCTCTGGGAAAATTAAGCATGGCTGTCTACCAGAACATAAACAACCATATGCACTTCTGTAAGTTCTGATTAAATTGTTTTGCTTCTAAAAAATCTTCCCAAACAATAAGCACCAACTGTTTTTCACCTTCATTGAGATTTTAATGAGAAATTCTCATAGCCATTTTTCTGTGTATACAGAATATATTACAACTACTGTTCATTCTGAAGAAAAAAACCCATTAAGATCATCATTAAAACAGTACCATCCGTTACCCTGGCTGTCACAGCGATTTCAGTATCTTCATGATACAAACTCTTATAATTTGTAACAAGTGTAATTTTCAAATATGGGCAAAATCATTGCATAAGAAATTTCAACTGATTTTAAATTAACAAAATATGTTGTTATGGGGTTTTTTTGTTTGGTTTGGTTGGTTTTGGTGGGGTTTTTTATTAATGTTACTGGGGTTAATAAATCTCAACAATCAGCTACTGAACTCCTCCCCTTCCTCCTATATGATTAGAAGCAGTCATTTCTGAATTATTTTCCCTTTCCAGTCTTAGCAAAAATCAAGAATGCTGCAGATATTAGTGTTTCAGGTCATTAATCCCACAACTACAATTAATTTCTAAAAATAATAAAAAACCCTCTTGCTTCTGTGCAATGATCGCACTTGGAGTTTCTTTGATTATGAACTTTCACTATGCATTGCAGAACGATGCTTTAGCTATATTGCGTAGCAAGAAAATAGTTATCCAAAACAGGAAAAGTTTACAGGGACTCATCACACTGTCCTTCCTAAAATAGAAACCTCTGCTGGAAATGGCTGTAATACTGCTTGCTGCAATCTTGACAGAGCTCATGAACACGGTCAAGTCTGCTTGGTATTTAAGTGCACTCAGCAGATAACCCAGGATGTTACACGACTAGAAATAATATGACTAGATTAGTCATCAGATGACACTCTCCCTCTCAAGACTGCACAGACAACATTTCCTCAAACACTACTGTCGTAACTATGCACAACAGCATCTTTTTGAAGAGACGGTTTAAATGAAGACTGAAGAATAGAACTATGATTCTTTATGTATCCCATTTATACCTGCTTATTGCAGAGGCCTACATTAAAAAGGTATGTTTTATATTGCAGAGGGATAGCTTAAAAATGTTTTACATCTAGACATCGACTGAGCTAAGAACCAAGTTTCTCATTGCTACCTTTGGCATACGTTAGATCTTAACACAGAATTGTGCAAAAAGCTTCATGAACCAAAAAGGAGGAAGAAGGAAACTGCAGTAAGAGATGAAGAACTGAACAGTAGCAGCTGAAGCATCTGTCATACTCTGCTTCACCAACATCACTATATACCCGTTAAACTTCAGCAGAAGGGAACTAATACCTACTACCGCACCCACTGGGCCAAGAGCTGAGCTAGTCAGAGCTGCTGTCTCGTGGCTTAATGCAGGGTTAGTGTTCGGTGCTGAAAACTTGCAAAATAAAGAGAGGGAACACCTCTTGCCAAGGATCTTGGCAAGGATTTCCTTGCCAAGGATCGCAAGGAAATCTTTAATTCCTCTGCTATGCCCACAGCACACTACCTTCTTGTCACACTTGAAGTCTACCCCGTAAACTTACAAGGGGCTTGACATGTCTTTGTCTCCAGTAAATAGTCGTTTAATACTTAAGCTCAAATGTCTTCACATGTAGCTTCTACCTGCAGTTCTTCAGGAATGCAGCTATCTTTAGATACACTTCTCATCACATAACTTCAGGATCAAGACATTTCTAAAGAATATTTGCTTCAAAAAAAACCCATCGCTGCAATGAGACATTCTACCAGCATTGCACTTTTCAAAATATGAGTGAACACGATCACCGCAATTACACCAATTTTCAATAGAAGCAACTTTCCCATACAGCCATTGACAAACTGAGGAATAGATTTGCTCCTTTTCTCGTACACAGGGGTTACAGTTTTCATTCTAGGTGTTTCCTCTGGCAAAGAAGCTTAACTCACTAAAAGCTGCACATCGGCTGGGAAGTTTTAACACCATCTGAAGCAATACCATTTCCTTTTTAACTACTGTAACTCACTTTTCAGAGATACTACACGTCACTCAGCATTTTTACATCAACAAACCTCTCGAGTTACAGGGGATATACATAATTTATGTATTAAGCACAGAATACACATTAAGTCACAATATTATGAGATCAGAACAGCACTTAAGAAGACTGGAAATGCAAAGTCAGGTTCACTGCTATATGTAGACTAACGTGGTCTTTTTTGTCCTGCAGCAAACACTATGTGTGGCTACTGCCAGTTGATAAAATAGTTGTGTTAGTGATGATGTAAAAGCAATGCATCTGCAGACTTTACTTCATACTGAAGTCAAAGACTTCAAGGCAATATCCATGCTAGAAATAATCTGACATTATACACAAGACCCAGCTCCATATATGAATCATATAAACTCTCGGGACTTGAACCCTAGAGGGACACAAATATCCCCCACGAATTTTTCAATACTTTTAGGAGGAATCGGGAGTATCACAGAATCAGTGATAATTCATTTCGATGCAAGACTATCCATCAGCATTCAAAATTCTTATCATAAGCCTAAAACCTTTACAGAAAAAGCAGTTTATTAGGATTTCATAGACATGGTTTGAATTTAAACTGTATAGGCACTGTATGAAAACATTCTGAAGGAATGATGCTCCAGATGCAAACACCTTTATTTAGGTGTCTACACAGGAACTAGGTGTCAAAGCTTCCACTAAAGAGAATGGCATTATAAAGAGTAATTCAGCTGGCCAAATATAAAGGGATATTTTAGGATGGGTCAAATGATTCCCTAGGCTTTACTGCCTGCAATGGGAGACAGACCCCTCTGCACAGGCAGACACACATGTTTAGGTGTTGAATCCAGAGCTGAATTCCACCTGGGGTTTCTTACAACGATAGAACTGAACTAAAGATAAACAACAACATACTGCATCACAAACAGTCAAAGAATGAAACAAGATGAAAAAGTAGAATTAAATGAACAATTTGTACTGAATTATTTTGTTTTGTAATGGTTTCCTTCCACAGCGTAAGAGACAGGAGAGACCTTGGTTGGTCCAAGGGTACAGCTCTACAAGGAAACTCGAGCATGGCTGGGACTGCTCCCAGACACTGTAACGCAACCGTCTGCGCTAGTGAATTCTTAGGACAGTCTGCGGCGTGAACTTGGCCTGCTCCAATGAGCGCTTTCCCCGAGCAGCTCCCAGGCACAGCCCAGCAGCCAGAAGAGTCCAGGGCCCATGCCCAGCAGGGAGTTCGTATGCGGTCACCTTGGTTTGGAGGCTGAGACGAACAGACACGGGCTGTTCCACGCTACTTGGCTTCAGCACTCAGGAATGTTCCCAAGCACGTTTGATTTACTAACAGCGACATGGCCCAAGCACCTTCTCTACAGCTGTTAGGTAAGAATAAGGGAATTAACTTTGACTTCTAACAACTATTTTCACAGATACAGAGTTTCACTGGAAATGAAGTTTAGTGAGTTCTTTACGAGTTCCTATGGCTATGTATAACGTAGAAAACTCTGTGTGTCCTTTTTTTTCTCCACTTTGGCACAGCTTGAATGACTGAGCCCTATTAAACAGGCCAAAGAAATACAAAACAGAACAATCCTTCCAAATTTCAAGTAAAGCATCTAATAAAGTATGTAACTCCATCGACTGCTTTTTCTTAATTCTTAGGTCCAAAAAAAAGTTACACTATCTTTTTTTTTTTTAAATATACATATAACATTTTTTTAAAATTGAGACCCTTCTAGAATATGAACCATTTGGGAATCATAGCTTCCCAGGACACACGAGGAAATCACACATGGTAGAACCTGATACAATACCACAGCATCATAAGGAACCATCCCAACACAACTGCTTATTCTTCGAGGCAGTGACAGGCTGGTGATTTGTTCCTCCTACTTCATGAGATGCAACGTGCTAAAGTAATTGCTTAAGATTATTCTTCATAATTTATAGGTTGATTAAATAGTTCTCTAAAGCTTAAAAATCGTATCCAGTTCCTGGTGAGTTCATTGACAACATGCCCTTTGAGCTGAAAGGCAGCAGAATTAAGGGCTGAGAACAGTGTGCTGTATCTCAAAGAACTTGCTGAAAAGTGCAACTCAGTCTCAGCACCAGTATGAACATGAAATGTGTTTGAACTGTTATTTAGAAATCCCCCTTTTTGTCCTGCCAACTTTGGATTTTAGCATGTATGTGAAATGAACAGTGCTTCCCTAATTCAAAATGCATTTGGTTCAAAGAGGAAATAAATGCCAACAAAAGAAATTGTGGGGTATAAAGTGAAGCACTGAACACGCCATGGTAGAACACAAAGGAACTGACAATCAGCTAAATGTCTGGAAGCATCCAAAAGAAACAGCTGATTTGGATCAAAATAATGTCTCGAAACAACACTTCTTATGTTCTCAAATGCTAACAGATTTAATTTTAATGTCCGCTTTGACAGCTGTCTTTTAACATCTTGTAAAATCTCAGTAATGATTCAAAGTTGTTAAAACCTAACTAAAGTGCCCCCCTTCCACCCCCATCTCCATAGCGGAATTGTTAAAGAATTTCTACTTTAACAAAACAACCCTTAGACACTTCTAGCTAGCGAGAAGCTCTGCTATATGGTCTGTAATGATTCATGGTGCCTGAAATGAAATCAGAAGTTTGCATTAAATTCCCTATCCCTTTACAGATTAAGTCTATACTTGTTTGTTACAAATTAAATAAGTAAAGTGAAATCTGTTAATAAATAGAATTACTGTAAGGGCAAGAATTCTCTCTGGTACTTTCTTACAAAAAGAAATTTCTGTATGCTTCGTCTATCTCCGCTTCACTATGCATCCCATTCAGTCACATGCACAGAAAGAATGCCAATGTTCCTGGCACATTTCAACAATATTTAAAATTCTGTTTATCCTCTCATTTGCTGCTTTTATTCTGTAGTAGAACAAATGTTAAGAGGTTTGTGATTCCAAACCATCCTGTTGCTGTTTTTCACTGAGAAAACACAAAGCCTTCTATATTCCTTTACACCTTTTGACTGCTGTAAAACAGTCCAGCACTACGAATACTGAAGCAGAGACAAAAGAGAAGAGAAACAGCTTTGGAAGTGACCTTTAATGTCAGGTTCCAACATAGGAGATAAAAATCAAGCTATGCAAGCATTTATCACTTCAGACAGGAGTCAAAGGCATCCCAGTCACAGATGAGCAGGGCCCAGCTGGACCTGAGGACTGCCCTCCAGCTCTGCTGTCAGATGCGCAGGCTGAGCTCTCCTTCGTGAACACCAAGAACAGTATAAAACTGAAGGTATTTTTGGTGATCAAAAGACAGACTTTTTAAAAAAAAAAAAAAAACAACAAACAAAAAAACATTTTAAACATTAAACAGTACGTGAGAAATGCCCACTCAGGGCAGTCTTGGTGTGATAGCCTGGCAGTCTGGTCAGATAGTGGCACACTTTGTCCATCATGAAATGTCACTGACAGAGGTACCACAAGTTACAGTGAAGCCTGAGTCTCAAACACAGAGGTTTAAATTTCTTTTTTTAGTTTAGAAGGAATGGCAGTATAGAATACTTTGATTCAAGAAAATGCCAAGAGTCAACTTCAGCAAATGCTTACGCACTGTTTCTTTCCCTGTCTTTTTAAAAGGAAACACTGACCTTCAAGAATTCCTTCTGCCAAACTATTTTATACCGAGACAAAAATGAATAATTACTCAAAACCATAAAAAGCCTACAAATGGCTATGTGGAAAGTGTTCAGACAACATCCAAAGCTGTTGCTGCTTGTTGCTGCTTATCTTTCACACATATCAGCAAAGCTGACGCAACTGAAAAGCCATGAAGATGTACCTAGTATGTGTTACAGTTTAATTGGCATCGAGAATACATTTAGCATATGGATATGTGGTTTTCGACAGTGTTTGTCTAAATACAAAAGTATGCCAATCTTAGAAGTAACATTTACAATAAACCAATCTCTTACCACTGAGAAGCCTGGGAAAGATAGCCTCCACAGAGATAGGTGCTATAGCAAACATAGAAATTCTGTGAAACACAGAAATCCTGTGAAATCTACTTCGAGACCCAACTGCCAAATCTGAACCAGCTTCAAACATCATCTTTTCTCATAAGGAACATGACTTCTAGTTGCATAATTACTGTTTTAAAGGAAGTTGGTTCTTTTCTGGATTTTGCTATTTTAGAAAAAACAGTCTGCCCTTTAGTTCACCTATGCACGAATGTCACATTGTTCCTCCATCCTTGCAAAACTTCCCAGACACGATGACAGCTAGGTTGTTGGGTGATATATGCCAAAGAGGAACTGGAAACAAATTCAAACTCATGAAAGAATGCTTTTCCAGTTCCTTTGAGATCCTGGCCATTTCTTTTATTACTGATCCATACAAATGTCACAAAAATATTAATATAGCGTGGAACTGTTTGGAAGTAGAATGCACAAGGTATCTTCTGTAAATCATCATAAAAAGACACAGTAAGCTAAGATGCACTGAGCAGGACTTAAAGCCAGAAAAGGATCACTTTAAAATCTCATAAAGTTATTTAGTGGATTCTAACTTCAAGTCCTTCCAACAAATACCAATTTTCTGTAAACATTAACAAGTGTAACAAATTGAGGTTTACGTTTCACACATAGTATTTGGATTTAACTACTTGGTTTATTAATATTTGGATATTGCTCACTGCACATCTGAGCTCTCTTTATAATCAAAGAGCAAATCAAGTTTTACACCTACCTGTAAGACACAAATATGCAGCTAAATACCGTTTTTCAAGGCCATCTTTATAGGTCTGAATCGCACCATAGACTGGAGGTAGAATGAAAATCAGGTTACTCACTGTGTTCCCTGTAGGACAGGAAAACAAAAAAAAAAAAAAAAAGCAGAGATTTAGAATTGGGTACTTTAAATAAAGCTTTAAATAAAGCTGCACTCACAGGTTCAACAGTTTTCATCCAGAAAGCTACACTTTTTCAGAAGTTGTCTTCTGCTTTCACACATAATACAAAGTTAAATTTTGGTACAACACAGTTGTACTTGAAGGCTAAGAACATATGAACTCTTTCGTCTTTTTTCACATGTATGGATAGTATTAAAATACTAATTTATCTAAAAAGTTTGACTTAGATGGTGCTTACTTTCTTGGCAGGCGGCAGGAAAATAGGGTTACCTTGATTGCACAGCTTATGAATTAAAACCCAATTCCTCAAGGAGATACAGGCCCCAAATAGTTCAAGCTTGGTATTTTAAGAGCTGTTTGTTTGGTTTTTTTTCTTTTCTTAAGCCTATTCTTGGAACTCTCTCCTCCACACTCCCTTCAGATACTTTAAGGTCACCGAGTGACTCGTTCCCAAATGAAGCCAGTTCAATGTTTACTGTTAGTGTGCTAGTCACCGTGCACACCCAGAATGCGCTGGATGGGATGCTACATCACAGATCACCACGTAAGACCAAAGACTGTAAGAGGGTACGAGATAAGGAACAGCAAAAAGCCAGAAGCCACTACTGATCGGCACGATAGGCAACTGCCACAGCTTATCAAGAGCCTGAACTTCAGCAAGACGCCACTGCTCTCCGTCCCCTGCTGAAGCTGGGATGCAACGCAAAAAACTGACACGTGTTGCAGAGATCAAAGAAAGCAAGACCAAGCCAAGAGCCCAGCTCTCCTACCAGGGGGCATGACGACTCTTCCAGCACCGGGGAAGATGAAGGAACCTTTCTTTTTCTTTTCTTTAAGACTACTCTCCTGGTCCGATTTAGATGTTTTTTTCAAACTGTCCTGGCCTATGCAAAAGTACAATGAAATACTGAGAAGTTTAAGTGAAGTATAAGGAAATGGTACATTTCTCAGCAGAAGGAATGCAGATTCAGCTTTTTAGCCTAACCACAAATCATAATTTTGAGAATAAAGGTTATGTAATGAGAATAAAATGACATGAAATTTGGGAGAAAGAGCAAATCTATTGAAGAAGGCAGAATGTTGCTTACATAAATTAAACTGCACACTTTCACACACCATCAGTTATATCTTCATTGATGATCTGGATGAGGGGATCGAGTGCACCCTCAGTCAGTTTGCAGATGGCACCAAGTGGGGTGGAAGTGTCGATCTGCTGGAGGGCAGGAAGCCCCTACAGAGGGACCTGGCCAGGCTGGGTCGTTGGGCCCAGGCCAACTGTATGAGGTTCAACAAGGCTGAGTGCCAGGTCCTGCATTTGGGGCACAACAACCCCATGCAATGCTGCAGGCGTGGGGAGGAGCGGCTGGAGAGCTGTCTGGTGGGAAAGGGCCTGGGGGTGTTGGTTGACAGGCGCCTGAACATGAGCCAGCAGTGTGCCCAGGTGGCCAAGAGGGCCAATGGCACCCTGGCCTGTATCAAGAATAATGTGGCCAGCAGGACCAGGGAGGTGATAGTGCCCCTGTACTGGGCACTGGTGAGGCCGCACCTCGAGTACTGTGTTCAGTGTTGGGCCCCTCCCTACAAGAAGGACATCGAGGGGCTGGAGCGTGTCCAAAGAAGGGCAACGAAACTGGTGAAGGGTCTAGAGCACAAGTCTTATGAGGAACGGCTGAGGGA